GCTGACTGAACCTATCCTTTCAAGTACTGCCTGCTTTGTTGCTTTATCTCTTACCAGGGGCGGAATGCCCACCAGTCGTCCGACCATCTCCGCTTCCTTTCTTGCACCTGGCAATGGCAGCAGCCAATCAACCTTGGGATCGCCTATTATCAAGGCACCAGTGTTGCTGTGATAGTCATCTGGACTGTCTTGAATGATCTTGAGTGTCGTCAAAGAAGGAATGACACGAATCCTACGAGTCTGAGAGAGGTATTCGGCTCCTTCCTTTTCACTCAGGGCAGCAAAGGGAACTTTGTACAAAGTATTGTGCGGAACAATAATGACTTCAGGCTCCTCGAGCAAGTCATAAATTGGGGCAATAAAGATTTTGTAACACAGCGATAGAATTGAAATGACTTCATCGTCCTCCTCCACGAGACGCACCCTTGCTGAGCTCTTTTGCTCGGGGGTAAGAGGTTGCGACTCAACCATATTTAAAGATCGATCTTCACAATCTTCAATTGGCAAAATACCAAGACTCCGGAAATTATCAGCCAAAAATGTACTCAAAGGCAAATCTTTGGGTAACCCAGCCTGAACAAGACCCTCTTCAAGTGATATGTATTTAAAATGAATGGCTCCACTTGTTTTCAAGATCCACAAATGCACGTCATTTTGAACATAAGAAATATAAAGACAAGTACAGTTCTTTTCCTTTCTCAAAATTTTTTCAATGCCAAACCAAGATTGTGGGTTAGCAGAGACGTGCGTTTCAACCGAGTACTTCTTGGCCATCAAGTCTGATAGGCCTCTTGCACGACTCAACTCCTCAACATAAAGAGCATCACAACTATTTCCGGTTCGACAAAGCAAACTGCCAAGGAAACTGTAGGGATATACACCACTCTGCTCCAAAAATGAGGTTTTAAACTGGTCGTTGACGCCAAGGAAATCTCTCAGCTCTTCATATTTAATAATGCATTGATGAAGACAAGAAAGGGAGTCTTTCATTTTGTTTTGACAAAAATACAAAATGGCATAAGCTTCTAGGATCTCGAACTCTCTTCTCCTACATCCAATATCTTTGGATATGATTAATGCTCTCTCCAAGTACACTTCCGAAGCTTCATAATCTCCAAGGAATCTAGAAAAAGCTCCAAGGTTTGCAAGACCTGTTGCTTCCCCTTCCCTATCACCAATTTCAGTACTGATGAGAAGCGCTCTTTCTAAGTACTCTTTTACCCTGTCGTATTGCCCGCGCGACTGATACAGAGTTCCTAGATTTCCGTAGCATGATGCCTCTCCATTTCTGTCGCCAATTTCAGTTCTGATGACAAGCGCTTTAACGAGATATTCTTTAGCCCTTTCGTATTGCCCGAGCGACTTACACACAGTTCCTAGGTTTCCGTAGCAACTTGCCTCTCCATTTCTGTCGCCAATTTCAGTTCTGACGACAAGCGCTTTTTTGAGATACTCA